CTCCTCCTTCACCACCACCGCCACCTCCTCCTCCTCCTCCTGCTCTTCTCCGTTGGCTGTTCTCCCCTCCCGCACTCCTGGAGATAGACGCTCAAGCCTGACGCCTCTGAAAAGGCAGCAGCAGACGCCTTATCCATAGACCTCAGGAAATTCGCTTTGACCGATGCATGCTTCAGGCTCTGGCTCAAGCTAAGGGGAATAACCGGGCAGGTAAAGAAGCTCAATTTGGGTTGGGGGGAGGGGATGGGGCGAGGCAAGCTGGAGAAGGATATCTTTCCCTATTGTAACTGAGCCAGGATCTGCCACAAATACACAGGGAAGGATGGGTGGTGGGAGGGTGGAGGAGTGTAGTTCTTGGTTGCTTTGCATGAAGCCTTTTAAATAGAGGGCAAGAATATGCGATGGTGGAACTGGGGTAGTAACTTAAAGGCTGAATGCAGTGATTTATTAGCAAAAGAAAGGAACAGGCAGGTCAGAAATAAAAGCAATATCACATATCTATCTAAATATTTATTTCCCTTCCACGTCAGTCCCACACTGTGTCTATCCCAAATTTGTGCAGTATACTCTAGGTTCCAAGAAACTGCACTGGTATTAGAGATGGAGCTTTAGAGACTGGGCGGGAAAGCTAGGGAGGATTTTGTATGTGCATTGATATTGAGGGACTTTCCTAAAAGACGGGCAAAAAGATAGGTACTTTAAAAATTTCTTCTAAAGATTTCATGCTCTTTATGAGGATATATTTCGAAGGGTGAGTGGAAAGGTGTGTGTGTGTGTGTGTGTGTGTGTGTGTGTGTGTGTGTGTGTGTGTTACCATGAATGTTAAAATATGCAACTGCAGCCGATGAGCGTACTGTATTGATCCCTCCGGTGACTTGGGAATGAATTTGATTCTAGAAATGAAAGAAAAGATTAATGAGGCTGTTAGTCTGCTTTCTGCTTTTGAATTAGAGCGCTTCTTCTTTTGGCTGCAGTAAGGTTGTTTTTCAGATCCTTTTATTTCATCCTCTAATTTGTGAACTCGCCAGGTCCTTCCGGCACCTAGAGAGAATCCTCTTTCTCCATATAAATACAGATACTCTCTCACACACAATGAGCTTCATCTAAAGAGAAGTCAGTTAACCTCTCCATGTGTGTGTGTTTGTGTGTTTGTATATACACACACACACAACATTATATATATACACATATACACACACACATATATATCCATCTAGGTTTTCCTCTCTCTTCTCCTCTTCCATTCCTTAAAAAATTGCCAAGGTGTGCATTAGTGGAGGAAAGCGGGGGGTGGGGGGTGGTTACATGATCTAGGTAATATTAATTAATAAAATTATTGGCTCCAACAGAGTCACACAGGCAAAAAAAGGTTTTCTGACACACGAGCTTGAGGATGGGTCCAAAGCACTACTCTTGATCACATCCCCGATTTATTTTGCAAATGACTGAAATTTTAGCAGTTTCCTGAGTCCACTTAAAAAATGAAATACATTAAATAGTATGCTATTTTAGATTATTTTAAAGAGTGCCTTTCTTCGGGCTTGGCACAGGAGTAGACAAGATATGATTGGCGATTGCTGATGGTGTGGAATGTATCAGCCATAATAAATAAGCAACTGAAATTTTTATTTTCTTTGCTAGTGGGCAGTGTATGTGCGTACGCATGTACAGTGTGTGTGTGTGTGTGTGTGTGTGTGTGTGTGTGTTGAAAGAGAGAACCAGTCATCAATTTCATCAGGGAGGAACTTGAAGTGGGATCCCCTAGCTTGGTGGCTCTCAGCTGACACCTGTAGGGATTGCTCTGTACTGAAGAGAAATGCTCTCATCTCCCTCCATAGAGAAGCAGCAGCACAATGCGGTGTCATAAATTACTGCTAGTTTCAACTTGTAGGGTGAAAAAAAAAAGTGTTAATTGGATAGTGAGCTTCTATGTCCAGGCAATAAATTTGGGGTTTGTTTGTGTGTTTGTTTGTGTGTATGTGTTGCAGTGTGTGTGGGAGAAGAGTAGTGGGAAATGGTGAGAAAAATATGTGTGCTTCCTTGACATGACCAGATGATACATTTGAGGTTTTTTTTTTTTCAAACTGTGAGAGTAATTTTTTTTTTTTTTTGGTTAAAAAAATGACTTAGAAAAAAATCAATATTTGTGATTTCTGTACCATTTCAGGAACCTGTCAGATTAGAGTTGAATAAGGAGAAGTGATTTAATAGTATAGTGAGTGATTCAAAGGTATGGTTTTAAATTCTAGCATCTTGGAGCTATAGTAGTTGAGATGACATACATGCCAACTGCTGTTCTGACCACACAAATTCTGAGGGCTGACAGCCAGCAGCCAGGTAGGGACTTCAGGAGAAGTTAGATTACACTACACTCTTAGGCAAAATGTTAAATACTTTACCCATCTTTGGAAGAGCTCATATTATAGCAACTGAGACACAAATACTGCCGTATGTGTATGTGTGTGTGTGTGTGTGTGTGTGTGTGTGTGTATATATATCTCACTTCAATTAGATGTTTTCTTTTATAACAGATTTTTTTCCTTTAATAAAAAGAGAATTATACTACATGTTTGAAATGGTGAAAAAGATTATCACGGAACCATCAATACTCCTTCTCTGTCTGAGAAAAATAAAATGGTAGGAATGCTATACAAATGTTAGCTGGCAGCTTCCTGTCGACAGTTTGATCTACTTTGTCTGTTGTAAAATACACTATTAACTGAGGTTTGAATGGGTTATATTTTTCCTGTCCATGTAGCTAGCACACAACATAAGTAGAAATCCTTAAAGGGTCTTTATTCCTCCTCAATATTAAAATTTAAAAAAAATAAAAATAACTTGGAAAAAGAAAAAGATAATCATAATCAAATCTCTATTTAAAACTGGGGTGACCTATTAACAGTTATAATAAACTACTAGGGTATAAGGGCTGATTGTAAAAGTGTGATATTAACTATTAAGAAATGTTTGGGCTTATTTGTAGTCAGGATGCACAAAAAATCTCCAACCCAACAAGGTTAACTCTTCATCTTACTAATAGGACCAGTTCTATACCTGCTTTGAGTTGAATAGTGATTTATATGATAACGTATTGACTTTAGACCTAAATCTTGATTTTAATTCTCTGCAGATTTCTGATTCCTTATAAAAAGACAAAACAGAACCAAAATGCATCACCAACATACAACCAGTTGATGTGCTGACATCTTAGCTTGGCCTTGCAGAGGCGGAGAGAAAAGAAGTGGAGCTGTTGTGATTTCCACATCTAACAGCTCCTGGCTATTTCACAACTTCTGAGTTTGAGTCCTACTATTGGGGAGGTTTAAAAAGAGACGTGAAATTCAGTCTGCGAGACCATGCACAAGGAATTCAGCTTTGGCTGCTGTGGTGATGAAGTCCAGGCTATGACAGAAGAAGCAGGTCTTTGAAGCTATCCTGGGGTTAAGTAGTGCCCTAAAGAGGCAAGGACCCATTTCTCCATCGTGCTTTGAGACACTACATCTGGAGGAGACAAGACAAGACTTGAGGCGTCCACAAGCATCAAGGATACTGGATCATTGCTGCCTTCTTTCACTTCCCTGAGAAAAGCGTCTGTTTCTTACTGCTTCCCTTTTGTCTGGTACCACCCGTGGGACCTGGCAGATAATGGTTTTTGAAGAGTGAAGTGTCTATCTGCTGACACCACAGATGCCCTTAAACTAGTCCATCAGACTCAAATGGATCAGTGATACTCTTTGAACTTCTGTTGACCCTTCTCCAGAACGTTGCCTCCAAGGTGTATCCTCCCTTTGGTCTGGAAGTTCTGTGGCTGCCCTGCACCCCTGGGGCCCAAGTTCTCCAGTCGGAAGGGGACTATAAGGAGAGAGAGAGGGGCTACTGGAAGAAGAAGAAGAAAAAAAGAACTAGATAGAGGAGGGCGCCTCCCTCCCACTCCTGCCTGTCCCCTCTCCCTACTTTCTCTCTGGACTCCTATTTCTCCATTGTGGTGTCCAGGACCATTTTGACCCTGTCGGCCCCGGCACCCCCCCGCCGCACCCCAGCGCCGAGCATGGGGACGGCGCTTCTCCAGCGCGGGGGCTGCTTTCTCCTGTGCCTCTCGCTGCTGCTCCTGGGCTGCTGGGCCGAGCTGGGCAGCGGGCTGGAGTTCCCGGGCGCCGAGGGCCAGTGGACGCGCTTCCCCAAGTGGAACGCCTGCTGCGAGAGCGAGATGAGCTTCCAGCTGAAGACGCGCAGCGCGCGCGGCCTCGTGCTCTACTTCGACGACGAGGGCTTCTGCGACTTCCTGGAGCTGATCCTGACGCGCGGCGGCCGCCTGCAGCTCAGCTTCTCCATCTTCTGCGCCGAGCCCGCCACGCTGCTGGCCGACACGCCGGTCAACGACGGCGCCTGGCACCACGTGCGCATCCGCCGCCAGTTCCGCAACACCACGCTCTTCATCGACCAGGCGGAGGCCAGGTGGGTGGAGGTCAAGTCCAAGCGCAGGGACATGACGGTGTTCAGCGGCCTGTTCGTCGGGGGGCTGCCCCCGGAACTGCGCGCCGCGGCGCTCAAGCTCACCCTGGCCTCGGTGAGGGAGCGGGAGCCCTTCAAGGGGTGGATTCGCGACGTGAGGGTCAACTCCTCGCAGGCCCTGCCCGTGGACAGCGGCGAGGTGAAGCTGGACGACGAGCCGCCCAACAGCGGCGGCGGCAGCCCGTGCGAGGCGGGCGAGGAGGGCGAGGGCGGGGTGTGCCTCAACGGGGGCGTGTGCTCCGTGGTGGACGACCAGGCCGTGTGCGACTGCTCGCGAACCGGCTTCCGCGGCAAGGACTGCAGCCAAGGTAAGGCCCGTCGCCCGACCCGCGGGGCCCTGGGCCGGGGCAGGGCGCGGGGGGCCGGGC